CACTCCAGCCTCAGCCCCTATTCACCAGCCACCCAACCTCACCACGACACAATATCACTCGCATTCGGCATCACTCCTAAACCGCCCTTACGCCTATCCTATATCCTATAGTCATTCTGTGGGTTACTGGTGAGGGCATGGGTTTGCCGGTGGGGTAAAGTGTGGTTTACTCCCAGCGTAGTAGAGTCAGGCAGAAAATACCATTGTGGAGGAGCTCTCCCGGGCTCCCAGTCGAGTGGACGAGGAGGAGGCCCCTCCGCAGCAGTGGCGTGAACAGCCACTGCAGGGCTGCTCCTCTACCAACCCCCACCTCACCGCCTCATTCCCCTCCCCCACCCCGTCTCCCCCCACCCCCACCCCGTCTCCCCCCACCCCACCCCGTTCTCCCCTCACCCCCACCTCGTCTCCACCCCCACCCCGTTCTCCCCCACCGTCTCCCCCACCCCGTTCTCCCCACCCCACCCGTTCTCCCACCCCACCCCGTTCTCCCCCCACCCCCACCCCGTTCTCCCCACCCCACCCCGTTCTCCCCCCACCCCGTTCTCCCACCCCCCACCCCGTTCTCCCTCCACCCCCACCCCGTCTCCCCCACCCCCACCCCGTCTCCCCCCACCCCCACCCCGTTCTCCCCCACCCCCACCCCGTCTCCCCACCCCCACCCCGTCTCCCCCCACCCCCCCCCCCCCCACCCCCCCCCCCGTCTCCCCCACCCCCACCCCGTTCTCCCCCACCCGTCTCCCCCCACCCACCCCGTTCTCCCTCCACCCCCACCCCGTTCTCCCCACCCCCACCCGTCTCCACCCCCACCCCGTTCTCCCCCCACCCCCACCCGTTCTCCCCACCCCCACCCCGTTCTCCCCCCCCCCCACCCGTCTCCCCCACCCCCACCCCGTTCTCCCCACCCCCACCCCGTCTCCCCACCCCACCCCGTTCTCCCCCCACCCACCCCGTTCTCCCCCCACCCCCACCCCGTCTCCCCCCACCTACCCCGTTCTCCCCCACCCCCACCGTCTCCCCCACCCACCCCGTTCTCCCCACCCCACCCCGTTCCCCCCACCCCCACCCCGTTCTCCCCCACCCCACCCCGTCTCCTCCCACCCCCACCCCGTTCTCCCCCACCCCCACCCGTTCTCCCCCACCCCCACCCCGTTCTCCACCCCCACCCCGTTCCCCCCCCCCCCCCCCACCCCCACCCCCCCCCACCCCCACCCCGTTCCCCCCACCCCCACCCCGTCTCCCCCCCCCCCACCCCGTCTCCCCCCACCCCCACCCCGTTCTCCCCCCACCCCCACCCCGTTCTCCCCCCACCCCCACCCCGTCTCCCCCCACCCCCACCCCGTTCTCCCCCACCCCCACCCCGTCTCCCCCCACCCCACCCCGTTCTCACCCCCACCCCACCCCGTCTCCTCCCACCCCCACCCCGTTCCCCCCACCCCCACCCCGTTCTCCCCCCACCCCCACCCCGTCTCCCCCCCACCCCCACTCTCACCTGAAGACGGACGCTTGTGTTGCGATCGAAACGTCGTGGTGTATTATTTGTTCTACCCACGTGACTTTACCGAAAGAACCAAAGAGCATGGATTCCTGCGGTCACGAAGGCTTCAAGTGGAGCAGGGACCATCATGCAAACTCCGCGCATCGTCGCAGCGGCGGCTTTTGGCTGACCATCAAACAAAGATGGCCACCGCATCGCGCGCTTTCAGATGCGCTTCTGCCGCCATACCGGGAAGCCACTGCAAGCGATGCACTTTGAAATCTAGATTTTAAACTAATTTCTTTAGAACTGCTTTTGTGCTTAGTTTGTTGTCCTTCCCCCGCACCTCCGATTAGTATGATTGGCTATGTACGGTGTGAAAGAAGTTGAACATACATTGTGGCCGTCTCTTACCGTCACAGCCACGCATACTACGGTATCTTACACCTGCCCTTGGTCACGGTGACATCCGAACATGCAGCCCACATGGGGCCCCGGGGGCAGATGTCGGGCGAGTCCAACCACACCTCACAGCCACGAAACTGCAACACCTGGCAAGCAGTAGTGGTGGTGGTCACCCATGCCAAGTACTAACCAAGCTCAACCCCCTTTAGTTTTTGAGATCTGATGAGGTCAGGTATATTTAAGGGTGATACCATCTTGGGCGTGAAAGTGGTGCGTTTGTGAATAGACCACAAAAAGGATCCCACGGATGAAACTGCTCGACGCCAGCTACGCATGCGTTGATACTTTGCGTGCGTTGATACTTCGCATGCGTTGATACTTCGCCTTTGTGCTGTTCGCCTTTTGGCATTCTCTCGTCTAACACCGGCAAGACAAGGCCAGGAAGGAGGCTGTCTCTGGTTGTAGGTCAATCAGTTTCAAGGACAATGCGTACATCACAATCAAATCATTTTTGCTGTTTTACCACAATCGTGTGTGGTTGATGCAGACTTGATGTCTTGTGTTAGGTGTCCGTTTGGTGTTTGAACATCTTAAAATCTGTGTATTCTTGCCGAACAGGGTAAAGCCTATTCTTTTTTTCATTAAGGATAAATATATATTTTAAGTCTACCATACTTTTAATTGTGCCATGTGTTGCTGGTCAATTGGCCACTTCGGCATTTGGGCCTGGGCTCCGCAACGACGATGAAACAAAAAAAGAAAATTGAACCATCGGAAGGAGGACGAGAGAAACCCCTCCGTTGCCTGGTCGAAGAGGAACTTTTGACGAAACTATAACTTCCGTGCTTCTTGCAGTCTTTTACTTTGTGTGCCGTCTGATCGCATTCGATACATTTCCCCCACAATACCGACCTGCCAATTGCCTAACTGTGGTGGAACCATTCAAACTTTCCCATCGTGTCATCTGCCGCACCAAAAGCTCAAACTGGTGACCTCTCGTGCAAGTCCCGCGTGTAGTCCAAGTCCAGGAACTCGATGTAGTAGAAGCCCCCCCCCCCCCGCCAATCTGCATCCCCCGCCCCCCACTCAATGGGAAGAGGCCTCGAGTGATTAACACAAAACCACTCCCCGTTTCGCCCAACCTCACGGATCGACCAACATGGAAACGAACCCCTGAGAAATGGATGAGCCCAGGGTCACATGGCGAAGTGATGCAGGCCCCTAACTGCTCACGGCCGGTTGGTGGAGCAATTCATCTCCTCTGTCTCCCTGCAACCTGGCGTCAGCCTCTGATGTCCACACCCCGCGCGGGGTCCTCACACGGCTCAGTCGACCTCGGGGAGGTCAGGGGACAGATTCTGATGCATCCCTCGCCACCGATAGCCATGGCCGGGAATCGATTCAGATGGCCGGGTTCGTGGTGCGGTGCGCTTCCCCCGTGCCCCCCCCCCTCACATGGATACATCACAGAATGTTATACAGTTGTTTATTTCTTTAACCTCATTTCATATATACAGCAAACACTATGTTGTACATAAATTACTGATAATACTGTACAGCATAATAAACATCCCATGCAATTCCACGATTGTATTAGAACTAACCGCAGATACAAATACTTGGCTGTGAAGTCTTGAATATGGCCATTTACCCTGAACGTTGGTCAAATATATGTACGTCTCAAAATGTAATGTTCGATCCATACTTGTAGTCAACGTGTGGTTTTACAAGCGGCCTGATCGCACGCGCGTTCAGGCGTTCACATTCTGTCCACGAGCACCTGTTACAGACGCAACCTAAACACGCAACAACTCCCCCAGTTATGTACCAAGGCCGTGTGTTTGTTCGTGAGACAGTAGGAGGTATGTTGAATGTATGTTTCATGTTTAATTGGGGGCGGTTGTGTCGCGCTATGAACACGGCAACCCGAGTTTGATTCCCGCTCATGGCCAACACCAGTAACGATTATCTGAAGCGGTCCTGGGCCTCCACTAGGTCGAGTCAGCCTCAAATGAGTACCTGGTTCAGTGTGTAAACATCACCACTGGGAAGACAAAGGCAGTCGGGCGTGGTGCTGGCCACCCACCCCCTCGTGTGCCATACCGGCCTTCATAGGTGCTTGCTAACAGCACTTGCCCCAACAGTCTGTCCAGGCTATACGGGGGATCTTTGTCTTTGCAGGAGTTAACTTGCAATAAAACACTGGCGACGTCGCGACTGTGACACCACTAAGAGACATTAAAGCAGCGCTGATGTCACCAGAGGGCACCTGAAAGTCACTTCGAAGTCTTTGTCTCCAGAATCGTCTCCCCTCAAGGATGGCATGGCACGTGGAGGGGGTTGGTGGAACATCTCCGTGCATGCCCGGCCACCTTTGTCTCGCGGCCAGTGGTGGACACACTCCCCGACAGCAGCAGCAGCTGCTGCTCGTTTTAGTCTGAGTCAACATAGGGGGGAGTGGTGAGCACACTGGCCTTGCGATCCAGAGGTCGCCGGTTCGATGTGAAACAATGAGGCGGTGTAGTAAAAGCAGTGGGCTCCACCACAACCGTGCCGTGGGGTAAAGTGTGGGCAACTTCCATCTCTTCTAAGACATCGGGCCAAGCGTGCAAGAGTGGGCAACACACCCTCTAGATCGAGTGGTTCTCTAGAGCTCATTCAAAGTGGAGGCCCATCTGCCAGCAGTGGCTTGAGAAAGTAATTTCAGGACTGCGCCTTTATTGACATTGAGGAGGCCCAAGTCCACTTCAGTACTTAATTGTGACTGGTGTGTTTTTGGCCTGGAATCAAACCGAGATCAGCGGATCCGTAATCACTGCAGAAAGTATTACACAAATACACTGTCGCATATGCAGATACATAAATGCGCGCTCATACACAGAAACGTGGTGCATACATAGCCATGTGCATGGCTGTCATTACACTTGCCTTGAAGTCGAATGGTTATTGGTTTAATATCAGCCTCAGTGGAAAAGTGACAATTTAATCGGCTGTATTAAAAATAAACTTGCATGAGTAGCAACAGAGCACTGCTCTACCATAAAGACCATACACCAGTGATACACATCGGTGGCGAGTGGTGGCACAGTGGTTAGCGCACTGCACTATAACCCTAGGCAAGATGACTTCAATTCCCCTCCACGGCTGACATCGGTGGAAAATTACATCCGAGGCGGTATTGGGAACACCCCTTCACCAATCCACACTGATGAGCGTGGTGAAGTATGTCTGGTCAAATACCTCCATGACATACAGGGCGTGGGAGGGCCTTCATCCAGCCATGAGCTAACAAAGCCTAACAATTATTATGAATATACATTTGTTATCAAGTGATTTTGTTTTAAAAATAAGAATTTAAGCTGTGAACATCAGTTTAATTTAGGTAGACAAGCCCATAATACAATCTGCTCACTACTGTGCCACCACTAAACCCCATGTTTATTAAATCAAAACTCACTTCTTGAATTTTGTTGCTGTGCTACGTGGAGGTTTCTGTTCTCTGTCTTGGTTTGTGTTGTAGGAGGCAGCAACATATTGAGATCATGAACTCAAGGGTATGGGTTCAATTCCAAAACAAGGCACTTGACATTTTGGGCAGGATATTTTTTATATATATAATCAGATGATCGTTGGTCCATCGATTTTGCTGTCCACCCAACAGTAAAATGAACAAAATCATGAAGTCTCTTGCGAGGTCTCTTGCTGGCGGGTTAAAGCGTGGGTACGCCACGTCTTGTAAACAACAGAGGGCAGTGTTGGGATAATTTCCCGTGCAGTGGCGATTTGAAGCCATCGGTGTGCGTTGGCATCGGCGTCATGCCCAAGCAAGTTTCAGCATTATCTGAGCAACAGACAAAATGACATGGCCATTGATTCAATATGAACGCACAGTTGGTATTAAACAGTAATTTTAAATTGTTCACGTTCATTTCTATAACCCAAGTCTCTGCAATAGTTACGAGGACCTTGATGATTATATTTGTTTTTACCAACGCAATTACGTTGAACATACCTGATTACATCAGTTCACGTGGAGGTGCTAAAGGTGGATGACCAGTGACCGAGAGCGGCCGTCACCCAGCAGTGGTTTGACCGTGGCTGGGTCTCCCCCATGTCTGAAGACACCGCAGGGATGTGACGCTGCGGTGTCTTCAACATCCACTTCACAGCGGACGACGGCGATGGTTAACACCAACCCCGCGTGGCCTTCCTGATGGGCGCAACATAACGTCGCGTGTGGAAACTGTGGATGGGCAAGGGGCTGGAGGTTAGGAGCTGGGCCCATCACCACAGCTGCCGCCCGGCAGAGCGACGCCGCTCCGTATCTCTCGGCCTGAACGCCGGGCCCTGCGGGCCCCGTGAGCCCCGCGGGCCCCGCGGGCGCCGTGGCCGTCGCCGACGTGGGGTGCGACGGACGTCGCTCGTGCGGGGCGCCCTCCCTACACGGCCGCGATGCCCATGCGCCGCTCGGCCAGGCACAGCGGCCGCAGCTTCCCCTCGCCGGTCGGCGCCTCCACGCGGATCTCGGGCACCCCTGACGGCCCCGACGCGGCCGCCGTGACCCTCGAGGAGGCGGAGGCCGAGGAGCCGGAAGAGGAGGCGCTGGGGCAGCGCGCCGGCTCCCCCGTCGTCGTCGCCGCCGACGACGACGGCCTCCCGGCGGCCGCGGCGGCGGCGGGCCGCGCGGGCGCCAGCCACTCGCGCTGCACGTAGAGGTGGAACGGGTCCTGGGAGCTCAGCGGCTTCTTGGTGCGCAGGTAGCCGAGCAGCACGAGCAGCAGGAAGAAGCCGTAGAAGGAGACGAGGATGAGGATGTAGAGCGTCTTGGGCTGGTTGTCGGTGGCGGAGGTGGCGGTGGCCGATGAGAGGCCCTGCATGTCCGGTGCGGCGCCCGGCCCGGAGAAGTGTGCCGAGAGGCGCGTTCCGTTCACCGCGTCCATGTCGCCGGCGCTCGCTGCAACGCACGGAAAAACGGGTCGTTAGCGTGGAAGGTGGGGTTCAACGAAGTGGCTTATCATGTGGACATTTAGAGCATCCAAATACTCTAAATGCGTGATGTTCATTCTAAATGTGGAGGGAAAAACCAGAGGACCCAGAAAAAATCCACGTGACCACAGGGAGAGACAGAGACAAGCAAACTCCAAATACACAGCAGCAGATGTCAGGGTTGGAATCGAACCCACGATCTCCTGTATACCAGGCGAGGTAGTTAACATCTCCTAGCCACCGTGGCACCCTTGGAGAAAGGGCACTAAATGAATGTCAGCTGGCTCTCACTCCGTGTTAGTGGAGGTTGGGTTCGCACGTTGGGTGCTTGAACTGAGCAGCCGCGAGGGAGAGGCTGCTCCACCTGGCACACCTCACGAGAGGCAACTCCACATTCCCATTCCCACTGCCAGGGCAGTGCTTCCATAGCACTGCTGTTGACTTGCCACAAATCGATAGCGATTTTATCGACTAAACAGAATTTGAATGAGCAACCCTCCTATTTATAGTGGGTTGCCATTAGTAGTATTAATATTGGTATCGTAATTATACAATAATTTCCAAGGTCTTAAAAGAAAATAAAAATATATAGACGACGTTTCGGGCAATGACCGTTTTTCAGAGCATGTACAATGTGCCCATTGCCCGAAACGTCCCCTCTTATATAACTTCAATGTTAAGGCCCCCACCCTAAACACAGTGTTATCACGAATGTTTTGGGTTGTTATTCATGCTACCAGTGCTGCAGTATCACGTGGTACTGCTGCTGTTCGCGTAGCGAGTCACTCGGCAATTTTACGCCATTTTACGATTTTATTTAAGAATCAATTTGTTTTTTCACAGTGCGGTGAATTTAGCGGCCACTAGCGGCTTACTGGCGTCCGATGAAATAATTTGCATTCGCCATGTACGAAACACCAACTCTTAAAACCCTCGATACGACGATACTAATCGATGCAACGTGACACGATGGTTCACTGTGACGATGTGTAATGTTGCCGGATGGTAAAGACAACAACAACAGCTCTGTACCGTGCTGCCAACAGCATTGGTCCACACGATCACAGAGTTCACAAGGCACACTAAGGGTGAACGTCGTCATCATCAGCAGCCATTGTCTATCCACTGCGGGATGAACGCCTTCCCCCCCCCCCCCACGCTGTTGCCGTTCCTCGCAGGTCAAGCAAGTGGTGCTCCCGTGCGTCTCACTGCTGCTCATGAGCTCATCTCAATCGCCTCATCTCCCACGGTGGCTGTCCCCCCTTCTTCACTTTGGCTGCGACTCCCATCACCAGTCACGACAGCGTCCTGCCCGAGCCCGTTCAGCTCCCCTCCTTCCTGCTCAACCTGACGACTCGGGTTGGCGTTCGCGCCCCGGTCCACGCGTTCCTCCGTCTGCCTCTCGCAGTATTTCAACTTCGTGAGAGGTCCCAACAACGCGGAAGATCTTCGGCCATGAAGCTCATGGAACAACAACGCCCCAACCGCACAGACCATGGCATCATCTCCTTGACGATGATGATGATGGTGATGATGATGGTGATGATGATGTTGCACACGTACGAAATTACAAACGGTGGTCACCACCCAGAACAGAACCGTGGAACTTATTGCGCGTACTCAATCTCGATTCACAAATGCAAGGGGGAGGGCATCATCACAGCAGCGATGTTCAAAGTCCCGTTCTCCTGACGCGTCCATCTGGCTCGGGAGCCGAGTGTGGCTCTTCAAGGACTGCTCCGTGTCGTCATTCTCGTGCATTGCGGATCTTGGACTATTGAGGGTTTTTTCACGAATTAAATAAATAATGGCTCTTGTGATTTTGGTTGCCGACCCCTGATCTGGCTCAGCCGCCTCGATATCAAATTATAATTGTTGCTCGACATCAACATCGGCCGTTCGCAGGAAAGTGTCATTCACAGCGGGCATCTCTCCGTGCGTGCACGAGTCGGCACAACTCACTGCTTGCGATCAGCTCGGCTCATCGCTAACCCGACTCTCTCTCCACCCGTGTGTGTCCATCCCCACTCGCGCCACTCAACTCCTCACCCTCACCTCGTGCTGCTAAACTCTGGAGCTCACCACCACCCTCCTCCTCACCCTCACCCCGTGCTGCTAAACTCTGGAGCTCACCACCACCCTCCTCACCCTCACCCCGTGCTGCTAAACTCTGGAGCTCACCACCACCACCCCCCTCCTCACCCTCACCCCGTGCTGCTAAACTCTGGAGCTCACCACCACCCTCCTCCTCACCCTCACCCCGTGCTGCTAAACTCTGGAGCTCACCACCACCCTCCTCACCCTCACCCCGTGCTGCTAAACTCTGGAGCTCACCACCACCACCCCCCTCCTCATCCTCACAATGAACCCCGAGTGAACCCGCGGGTGGTCTCACACTTTGTGAGTTGTATGGATTCGGCACTGGAGCCGTTGTCTCAGTCACCGTCTCCTTCGTCAAGCGAGGCATGTGGCAGTGCGAACATCAACTGGCGGTGCCGATCCAGCAGTGGGAATTCCACATTCCCATGACCGGGACCAGTATTATCCTCAGAACCACCGCTGCTGAACTTCCACAAAAGTGGCATTTTATCGATGCGGTAGTGGAGGGATCTCGTTGGACCCCTCGTCAATCTACTGCCGGATGAAGGCCTCCCTCCCCACGCCGATTCAGATATCACCCACCACTTTGCGTGAGCCGTGGCCGGGAATCGAACTTAGGTCGCCGCGTTCGTAGCGCAGTGCGCTAACCGCGGCACCTCCGCTCCACCCACGTCAACACTTATGAGTTGTGTGGAGTAGCGGAGGATAACATTTGTCAATGCAAGAAGCGTGTTTTATAAATTAACGCCTTCATACGGTGCGAAAGAAGTTCAACACACTCACCGACTGATGAAGGAAAAAACCTTTACCTTACTACCCGCTTCCAGACCAAGCCATCTCCATCGCGAGATAACAAGCGATGGCAGCTCCTGCCTGCCGACATGATCCACCACACGAGCTTCTATCAACTTGGTCACCTACCCACCTGCGTAGCTGCATACCCACTTAGATGCACCTGTAACGATCCGATGATATACAGACATCTCGAGATATCCACCTACTCACTAAACTACATACCAATGTAGCTATACTGTATGTCCATCTCGCTACCCACTCATCTACACGACCCTTCGACGCAAGTACCGAGACAGTAGATATGTAACAACGCTCACTCGAACACCTACCGACATGCCCACATAGCGACCCACACATCTGCCTGTCTCATCGTCCACCTTACTCCACACACATTTGCAGAGTCCACCCGCCCGCCTACTCATCCACCTCCCTTCGTGTGCGTTTACCCATCTACCCACGCCAGCGAGTGCGGACGGTGCGTGGTGGTGAGTGGTGGTGCGTGGTGGTGAGTGGTGGTGCGTGGTGAGTGGTGGTGCGTGGTTGTGAGTGGTGGCGAGTGGTGGTGGTGAGTGGTGGTGAGTGGTGGTGAGTAGTGGTGGTGAGTGGTGGTGGTGAGTGGTGGTGAGTAGTGGTGCGTGGTGGTGAGTGGTGGTGGTGGTGCGTGGTGGTGAGTGGTGGTGCGTGGTGGTGAGTGGTGGTGGTGAGTGGTGGTGCGTGGTTGTGAGTGGTGGCGAGTGGTGGTGAGTGGTGGTGAGTAGTGGTGGTGAGTGGTGGTGGTGAGTGGTGGTGCGAAGTGGTGAGTCGTGGTGGCGAGTGGTGGTGAGTTGTGGTGGTGAGTGGTGGTGGTGAGTGTTGGTGCGTAGTGGTGGTGCGTGGTGGCTCTCTCGTGTGATTGTGGAATCATTCGCTCACCTCTCTCCGTGTCTGCTGCTGCTGGCGGTGGTAACGAGATGCAGAGAGACAGCAGCTCCAGAGGAGACGACAGCAGCTCCAGAGGAGACGACAGCAGCTCCAGGAGACGCGGTCTCGAGGTGCAGCTCGTGCAGGCGGTCCCACTCAAGAACGTCGGCCTACGAGTGACCCCTTTCCAGTCGATGTCCCCTCTGGGCTCTTTGTCCTCACCCCGTTAAACGAAATGAACTTGAGTCTAAGGCGGAGCTTCTCCAGATGGCGTCTTTAAGACGGAGTCACCCAACAAGTTCCCGGGTCGCGTTCTCCAGCCCTGCAGACGAGGATGCTTTAAGGTGCTCCTCCGATGTCCTCCGATGTCGCTCCTACAGAAGAGAGGACGACCTTTCGTGAGTCGGGCAAGGTCGTCTGGCGTCCGCTGCTCCTCCGCGGCAACCTTTGTACCTCTCCCCGAGCTTGCACGGACGCGTTGCCTGGAGTTGCTCCCGCGAGGCGCGTGCTCCGAGCTCTCGGTGTGTGCGTTGCGCAGCTCCCCCAGGGCTATTTAAAGGCGGCTCCGACTCTGAGGGCGCATCGCGTCACTGCCGAGACCCCCTCCCCGGGCCACCGGCCAACAGCTGGCCAAGCTCAAGCCGCAGAGGCCCCAAGCGGCTCAAGGGAGACGCCGCACTCATGCACAACTCAAAGCAGAGGCGCGTGCGATATATTAGCTCAAATTAAATCCTGACAAACTTAACAAGGTAATTAAATTAACATAACAAGCCCATTTATACGGCTCGACTGCATCTTACTAAATGTATCTCATGCTCACACGTCCTTTGGATTGCACTCTCATGGTGCTCATCTCTCATTATCGCTGCTGTCGTGCGAACACGCGGGCATGATGCTCTTGTGCGGCGACGGAAGCTCATCCTTGCTCATCTCCCTCCCTAATCCCTCTTTCCCTCATCCCTCTGTCCCTATTCCCTCCCTCCCTAATCCCTCCCTCCCTAATCCCTCCCTAATCCCTCCCTAATCCCTCCCTAATCCCTCCCTATTCCCTCCCTCCCTAATCCCTCCCTAATCCCTCCCTAATCCCTCCCTAATCCCTCCCTAATCCCTCCCTAATCCCTCCCTCCCTAATCCCTCCCTAATCCCTCCCTAATCCCTCCCTCCCTATTCCCTCCCTCCCTAATCCCTCCCTAATCCCTCCCTCCCTAATCCCTCCCTAATCCCTCCCTCCCTAATCCCTCCTCCCTAATCCCTCCCTCCCTATTCCCTCCCTCCCTATTCCCTCCCTCCCTAATCCCTCCATCCTAATCCCTCCCTCCCTAATCCCTCCTCCCTAATCCCTCCCTCCCTATTCCCTCCCTCCCTATCCCTCCCTCCCTAATCCCTCCCTCCCTATTCCCTCCCTCCCTATTCCCTCCTCCCTAATCCCTCCTCCCTATTCCCTCCCTCCCTAATCCCTCCCTCCCTATTCCCTCCCTCCCTATTCCCTCCCTCCCTATTCCTCCCTAATCCCTCCCTCCCTATTCCCTCCCTCCCTAATCCCTCCCTCCCTAATCCCTCCCTCCCTATTCCCTCCTCCCTAATCCCTCCCTCCCTATTCCCTCCCTATCCCTCCCTCCCTATTCCCTCCCTCCCTAATCCCTCCCTCCCTAATCCCTCCCTCCCTAATCCCTCCCTCCCTATTCCCTCCCTAATCCCTCCCTCCCTATTCCCTCCCTCCCTATTCCCTCCCTCCCTATTCCCTCCCTCCCTAATCCCTCCCTCCCTATTCCCTCCCTCCCTAATCCCTCCCTCCCTAATCCCTCCCTCCCTAATCCCTCCCTCCCTATTCCCTCCCTCCCTAATCCCTCCCTCCCTAATCCCTCCCTCCCTATTCCCTCCCTCCCTAATCCCTCCCTCCCTAATCCCTCCCTCCCTATTCCCTCCCTCCCTAATCCCTCCCTCCCTATCCCTCCCTCCCTAATCCCTCCCTCCCTATTCCCTCCCTCCCTAATCCCTCCCTCCCTAATCCCTCCCTCCCTATTCCCTCCCTCCCTAATCCTCCCTCCCTATTCCCTCCCTCCCTATTCCCTCCCTCCCTAATCCCTCCCTATTCCCTCCCTCCCTATTCCCTCCCTCCCTCTTCCCTCCCTCCCTAGTCCCTCCCTCCCTATTCCCTCCCTCCCTAATCCCTCCCTCCCTAATCCCTCCCTATTCCCTCCCTCCCTATTCCCTCCCTCCCTATTCCCTCCCTCCCTAATCCCTCCCTCCCTATTCCCTCCCTCCCTAATCCCTCCCTCCCTATTCCCTCCCTATTCCCTCCCTCCCTAATCCCTCCCTATTCCCTCCCTCCCTATTCCCTCCCTCCCTATTCCCTCCCTCCCTAATCCCTCCCTCCCTATTCCCTCCCTCCCTATTCCCTCCCTCCCTATTCCCTCCCCCCTATTCCCTCCCTCCCTATTCCCTCCCTCCCTAATCCCTCCCTCCCTATTCCCTCCCTCCCTAATCCCTCCCTCCCTATCCCTCCCTCCCTATCCCTCCTATTCCCTCCCTCCCTAATCCCTCCCTATTCCCTCCCTCCCTATTCCCTCCCTCCCTATTCCCTCCCTCCCCTATCCCTCCCTCCCTATTCCCTCCCTCCCTATTCCCTCCCTCCCTATTCCCTCCCTCCCTATTCCCTCCCTCCCTATTCCCTCCCTCCCTAATCCCTCCCTCCCTAATCCCTCCCTCCCTAATCCCTCCCTCCCTATTCCCTCCCTCCCTAATCCCTCCCTCCCTATTCCCTCCCTCCCTAATCCCTCCCCCCTATTCCCTCCCTCCCTAATCCCTCCCTAATCCCTCCCTCCCTATTCCCTCCCTCCCTAATCCCTCCCTCCCTATTCCCTCCCTCCCTATTCCCTCCCTCCCTATTCCCTCCCTCCCTAATCCCTCCCTCCCTAATCCCTCCCTCCCTATTCCCTCCCCCCTAATCTCCCCCATTAACACAACTGAGGTGCATGCGTCCGTGGATGGAATTCCTATCCAGCTCAGATCCCGCCAGCTTGCCCATCGCCACATCTATAATAACCTCCTCCTTGTTGTAGCAGCTCTCTCGCTGGTTCAGCAGTTCCACTGCTGGATTATATTTTTCCGCCTGAGGACGACCGCTTGTATTGCGATCGAAACGTCGCGATTTATTTTATTTTATACCTACGCGACTTTACCGAAAGAACCAGAGTATAATTAGATCTGTTGATTAGATTGCCATGATCTCACCGCGTCAATGTATGTCGTCTACATCTCTTGTGTCCTCTCACTCGGATTCTCACCCACGCATCCCCCAAGATCGATTGTACAACACCACCAGCATCATCGCTCGCATTAATCCTCATCAGCCATAATCTATCCACTGCTGGATGAAGGCTTTGTTAAGCCGGCGCCACCTCTCACGGTCTCGAGATCCACGGAACAACCCCGCCGCGCGTGTGCCGCGCGTGTGCTGCGCGGCACACGCGCGAGGCGGCCTCTCAGTGCCCGTGGCTTTCACGACTGATTTAAAAAATGAACATAACAAGAACGAGCAGAGTGAGAAGCGAATGCTGAGAAGCAGGACTTGATAATAATAATAGTACAGTTTAGTTTTATATAGTGTCGTCATCCATCGCGATGGAACCACAGACAAGCGTGAACAATGGGCCCCGCTCTGCAATCCTCAATACATTAACATGCTATCAGCCAATTAATGAATACCCGGAGAAAACCCGGGCGTGCAAGGGCGGAAACACTATGTGGCATACGAGTAGTCATCGACTTACGAACACAATTCGTTTATTGAGACTCGTTTGTAAGTGGGAACCGCACTGTGCTGATGGATGATAATAGTGGGTGCTTTGCTGTACCGCATTCTCATGGCACGGGGAAGGGAGCTTTGCAACATTCGTGTGTGAACCACCATTGGTGCTGCCTCCACAACATTGCTGGGGATGACAGGTCACGTGCGTAGCCTCTAACCACCGGCGCCCGGTGATCACCACCATACAGGGCAAGGGAGCTGCTGCCGCTGCTGCCGCTGCCGCCAGCGTGGCGCCGTGACGGGTCTGCAGCAGAGGCTCTGTGCTTCGTCAGCTGCGCTCGTGTTTCGACTCGCCCGGGGACGAGATTGAGCGCGGCCCCGGCGCACCGCACCGCCGCCGCCCGCGCCGTGCCGCGAGCTTCCTCGTAACGCGCAAACCCAGACGAGGTTCACAGCTGATGGTTTGGAGTTGTCAACCCACTGTTGGATGGACGAATGGCTCCCGAGACAAATCTGGATGTTTTTTGTTTGTCCATTCGGTTCCCGGTAATACAATAAGACATTTTAACAACTCTAATAAATACCCATAGGCTTACACAAACCCCAAAGATTATGAAGATACCGATAGGCTGACAGAGACATATATAAACCTATAGGCTTCGGGTTATATAGAGACCCATAGGCTTATATCAAGACCCACAGGCTTACATGGAGACCCATACGGCTTATGTAAAGATCAATAGGGTTACACAGAGATCCATGGGTTATATAGAGAAGCGTCTGTTTAAATATAGACCCACAGGCTTACTGACATCCTTAGGCTTACATAGAGACCCATCATAGGCTGACAGAGAGATGCAACAAAAAAATCGTCATTCACTACGAAGTGGCGGTGACGTCACCACAGTGCCTGTGCCATGCTAGGTGCACTTTGATGCCACGTGCAGAGTCGAAGGCGCGCTGGCAGGAGGTCACGGAATAGACCCAGGTGCCATGGGTTGACCGACTGAGGTGACTAGCAGATGCACCAACCGGGCTCCCCACTGTGCCAACTATCTGCGTTTTATCCGCCTGGCGATCTGCTTATTGTTGTGAGCGTCGCTCTTCTGTTCTCCGCTGATGCTGGAGGGCGATTGCCTCCAACTCTCTAGCAGCGTCCTTCACGAACCTTCTCCAGAGGCCGATCTTGACATTGCTGGCACCAGGCATCAGTAAGTCCAATCAGCTCCACATCCTTCTATACCACTTCAGTCCATCTCTTCTCTATCCCGTGCTGCGCCCGTTTAGACCCATCTATCCAGCCAAACAGAAGCTGCTTGGGCATGCAATGGCTGAGCATGCGGGCTACATGACCCAGCCAACGCAGCCTTGCTTTCCGTAGGAGCTGATGAGACTTGGTCCAGCTCTTTCAATGATCTGTGAGCTCCTCACACAATCCAGTATAGTTAAACCCAGGATGGATCGTAAGCAGGCTAGCCTGAATGTTTCAAACCGGCGCAGATGTTCCTTTAGAGGCCCCCACGTCTCGCAAGCATACAGATTGGAGGGCATAACTGTGGCCGAGAAGACCCGGAGCTTTGTATGGAGCGACAGACCAGGTAGCTTCCACACAGCGTTACGCAGCTGATAACAAGGTAATGTCGCTCGACTGATTCGGAGACCTCGGTTGCCAAATCGGAGTTGGTCATAAGCACACTGCCTAAGAACGTAAACGTCTTCACTCTCTCCACAACTACCCCACCACACATGGGGAGATGAGGGCGGGGAGTGATTGATGGCATAAATACCCATGCAGGTGCTTTGTTTTTGTGGCGATGATGGTAAGGCTCCATATATTCGTAGCATGCTCCAGGTCAAGCAGTAGCATCTCCAACTCCTTCTAAGAGTGGGCAGAAATCACCAGATCATCCGAATACATAATATGATTGAACAATAGAGAGCCGTCCCTTAACAGCACCAGGCCATCAATCAGCCTCCCATTATATCCTATACCAGATAGAAATTCCACCGGCACATCCATGAAAAGCTTCTCAAACTACGTGGTCAAAGACGATGGTAAATAATG